CTTTAAGTTTTAAGTTGTGCTTATAAATAAACTTCTCAACAGCCAAGCACAAAACAAATTCCTCGTAAAAACTAAATTGAAATGTCGAAAGTTACATTATTTTTTGGGTTATTGGTTATTTTGAGTAATTTAGCTTTGGAAACAAAGGCAGACGATAGTTCAGCTTCAGCCACATGGCAATGCTAAACCAAGCTCAAGCATCGGCGGCAGCGGCCATGCATGGCCGAAATTCTTACATACTGTTCTAAAGATTAAATTATCTCTCCTCCTTTGGATCCTGATGTTTCCATGAACGGCAAACTTTTGCTCGCAGACCACTTAGCAAGAGTAAGTAATGAGTCTCATTCGATAATGATATTATCAACAACAATATCAAACAAATCTAGATGGCACTATTACATAACTTTCGCTACATCTTTTTTACCGGCAGTTTAATACAATAGACACGTTTCTAATATGTATAACTAAAATTTCTCTAATGTTTGGATTCATGTTATATATTGAAAATATCTCTAACTATAAATAAAAGGGTCTGTGCCATTTTTTTTTTTTGTGAATTAATTAAGAGGCAAAAGGTTAAACAAACATGTCGAAAGTATTAAAATCCCAATCACACTACAGTCGTTCCAAGTCCTCTCCCGGCCTGGTTTTGGTCTACACCATGTTGATATCAAACAATAGTCGTTTTATTCAACCTTAAGAAAACCTGGACTCAAAAGCTAGCCATGCAAAAACTGGTTATCATTTATTCATGCTTCTTACGAAAATCGACCTGTAAACCACGTTAAAAGACAAAAGAAACCATCAACAAAGCCAAGTATTAACATTTCTTTTTTCTTTTCTTTTTTTTCTTTTTTGGTTCTTTTAAAGTTCTAATAGATGGGTTATCAATCTTTCAATTAAAGTAATGCTTTTTAAAAAAAGGGGTGCCCAAAACAAAGATTTCAACCCTCCTCATCCTACTGTCCAATTTTCTTTACACATCAGAAAAGTTTGGTATAATCAATTGCTAGGTCGACCATAGAATTAATTCATTTTATCATACAATAATTTCGTTAATGGATTTTAGCCGAGAGAGTTTCCAAATGTACTAATACATCATCATTGCAATTAAGAAGTTTGGATAAGTTTGATATCACTCAAGAAAAAAACAAAGTCAGTAGATTCATCAATTAGAATCATGATGATTGATGAGTCAAGATTCACACAAATAAATTTATGGAAAGTAAAAAATAAAATGAAAAATAAAAAAGTGATGATGAATCATAAGGGTGATTAAATTTTGTCTTTTTCATCACATCTCTTATGGGCAAAATAATAAATTATTGATAATTAGCTCCTTTTTTTTTGGTTAAATAATTATCTCCTTTTTTGACAACTATGATTTAGACAAGTTGTTTTTTTTTAGGTTTCGAGGGTACCTCATGTTTCTTTCTCTTTTGAAAAGCATATCTTTAGGTTGCAGAAGTAAGTATTTGACTCGTATAAGTGATAAAAAAGCAAGTGCTATTATTATGATTATAATTAGTGTATCTGGTGTTAAATAAAATTAAAAATAAAGAAGTGACCACTTTTGAAGTGCGCTAGGTAGCATATCGATCCTTTCACCTAAATTGTTTGTTAGTTTTGCAAGGAACGTGACTAGTAAGTTCCATAGGAGACTCGACTATTTCTAGAGCCGTCTAGAAGTAGAAGACTAGCTAGCTGAGGTCGGGTGAAGAAATTGCATATGTGCCAAAAAAAAAATTGACAATATCATTATAAGAAATATTACCCCGAAAAAAATTAAATAAAATCACAGAGTATCGTAGAAGATGAAAGTGACAAATAAATTAACATTTTGTGAAGATAAAAGGAATAAACAATGTTTCAAGAATACAAAGATTTGATTATTCATTTCTATTCAGGGGAACACTTGAGCTAATTTTCTTTAAGCATATTAAATTAAGTTTCACGTGGACAAAACTGAAACGCAAAATATTGCATATTTTGCCCGGTTGGTTCGCGAGCATAAAAGGTTGGACGACGGTTGGATTGCCTTACGTCGTGTTTCATGAGACAAATTTTATAGCTAATTACTCCTCCGATCCTTAATATAAAATATTTTGATTTTGTCCTAAATTTCATTTAGTACACATTTTGAATTTACGAAAAAATCTTTAAAAAAAATTTTCACGTTCATTGTATTCGATTGATTGTTATGAAATATTTTTAAAGTTTTTTTAATTAAAAATACGAATTATGTTAAATCTAGGACAAATCAAAATGCCTTATATTAAGGACAAGAGGAGTATCTAATAATTTCTTTAATTGTTAGGTTTTGAAACTTGTAGCAACTGATTCGAGGATTTTGACAGAAATGCAAAGTTCAGCATGATATGTAAAGTTCGGAATACAAATTACAAGAGAAAAAAATGTATATGCAACAAGTATAATCATTCTATCAATTCACTACTAGCCACTAGGGTAGCAATAAAATTTCAAGCTAAATAATTACTTTCGGCTTGGCTAATGTTATCGGTCTATTGCCTGGAATGAGACAAATGCTTAACATGACCAGAAATTTTACGGTGCTTAATTACTGCTTACCCTCTTCCAGGTCTAGATTATCTTGAAATCTTGTATATGTAAAGTTGTAATTTATTTTCGTCCCGAAATTATTATCCAATTTGATAATATTTCACTTTTAGTATAAATTACACTAAAAATAAAAAATTAAATTGGACAATAATTATAAGACGGAGGGAGTAGATAAATTGGGTTTCCGAGTACGACTATACAAACCTTCTATCGGTAATTTAAGGATAATCCTGAGACTCTTGAGAGGTGAGATTCACATTATTAATTATGAAATTTCCTTCAGTTTATAATACTTTCTTACTCTCAGAAAAAATAGTCAAAGAGAACATTTACGTGAGTTGGAGGAAAAATTGGCGTTTATACCCAAATCTTTGAACTCATCGCCAATTTTACCTTATTGATTTTCGTTTAGTCAATTTTATTCTTAATATTTGAAATTTTTGTCAATCCTACTCAATTGACCCAATTTCCGTTAAACTTAACGGATTTTCGTTAATTTTAACCAAAAACACTCTAATAGTTTCAAAAAATTATATAACCATAAAAATATAAAAATGACAAAATAGTCCCTTTTTATTAATTTTTTTCTATTTCATTTTATTTCTTTTTGTTACTTTTCATAACCATCAAAATATACTATATGACCTTTAAAAAAAAAATTATTTATTTTCAAAATCTATTTTTCATGTGCAACACATGTGATTTGGGTTAAGGAGTAATTTTGCCATTTTAAATTATTAAAAAATTTTATTTTTATTTTTTTTATTCAGTATTTTTTTGAGGTTATTTTTTTTATATTTCCTGACTTGTATATATTGATACTAGTATAATTATTAAATTTCAATAATTAATTTACCTTTTTATTTCATAGATTATAAAAAAAATTAACATAAAGAAAATGAGGCAGAAAAAATCAAATTGAAATAAACATGAAAATTAATAGTTTATCATTCAAAAAAAGTTGAAAAAAAATCTTTTAAAGAAACTCTGCAAAGTGAAGTCTTTCCTCCTTGACTTCCTCTAATTCATAGGTGAGTTACGAAACATAAATTTTACTTGATCTAGTGTAAAATAATTATTAGTTCGTTGTAATAAAAATGATATAGAAATTAGACAATTATTTAAAACATGAAAAGGTGCTAATTTAATTAGTCCACAACGATACATTTCTGTAAATTTGGTTAACATATTTTTATTCTTTTTTCATAATTTTTTTTTGGCCGGTTGGCGGTTGCTATACTACATAAGCAATTATTGAATTTCATGAAAAAGATAAATACATGTATTTTTTTAGCAAAATAAGTATTAAATTATACTACATGACTTATATTATTTTTATTACAAAGAACAAAATAATCATTTTAGGCTAGATCAAGTAAAATTTATGTTTCATAACTTACTTGTGAAATAGAGGAAGTTAAGGAGAAAAGACTTGTCTTTGTAGTTTTTTTTAAAGATTTTTTTGTTTTTTTAAGAATGATAAACTATTAATTTTCATGTTTATTTCAACTTAAGTTTTTCTTACTCATTTTCTTTATGTTAAAGTTTTTATAATCTATGAAATAAAAGGGTAAATTAATTATTAAAATTTAATAATTATTCTAGTATCAATATATACAAGTCAGGAAATATAAGAAAAAGAATCTCAAGAAAAATACAAATAAAAAAAATTAAAATTTCAAAAATTGAAAATGATAAAATTACCCCTCAATCTATATAACATGTGTTGCACATGAAAAATAGATTTTGAAAATAAATTACTATTTTCTTAAAGATCATATAGTATATTTTGATGGTTATGAAAAGTAATAAAGAGAAATAAAATGAAATATGAAAAAATGAATAAAAAGGGACAATTTTGTTATTTTTATATATTTTTAGGGTTTTTCTGAAAGTATGGAGGTGTTTTTGGTTCAAAACTAATGGAGATGAAGTAAAATTGAAAACTGAGAATACACTGTAACTGTCAGTCAAAGAGAGTTGGATATCACAAAAGATTAAAAAAAGCCTTAAAAGGGACCGAACGAGACTATGAGAATGATATTGCAAATCTTCACCCGGCACTCGCTAATGGAGTGATGTCAAAGGATAAAGGAGAAGAGGACAAGCAAAAGAAAATTAAAATAAAGGGTTCTGTTATTAATAAAAAGAATTATAGGCGACCCAATCCATAAAATAAAATTTGAAGATCTGGTGTTACATTTTACGTATATGCACATCTTAGTAAAGAGTTATAGTAATGTGATCTATTTATTTACAATTATACTGCCCACTTGTACTCATTCACTTATAGTAAATTGTCGTGACAATTCCAATCATAATTCTTGATAGCTCATGGCTTTCCCGGTCAATAACTAAAATTTCATCGTTATAATTCTTGATCTTTTAGTAATAACGTCAATCAATGACTAAAACTTTATCGCATATTCATAAGTGCCGTTTTAATAAACAGAAATGACACCAGCTGTACTGGTTTCAAAAGAAACATGATCAAAAGTAAAAACAAGTTCTTAAAAAAAGAAAGGGAAAAAAACTAACAAGAAGGTTTCGGATTTCCTAGTAATTATGCCTAATTTTAAACTGTATATACACATTACAAAAAGGTCTCTTCTCACTAGCTTATACAAGTAGTACAAGCAAAGTGGCATTACACCACAATCAGCTCCTTCATATCGATGATTCATATACTTTCATTTTAACCACATAGTAGGAACTGAAAATTCCAATTACATAATTAAGCATCCATTCGGATTTTCATCACTAAACATCTCAAACGAATCCAACGGCTGTCTCGTCGAGTAGGGGTCGAAATCGGACGGTGGAGGAGGAGGTTGATACTGTGGCCCACCGGGATAGGAGTAGACATACGAGTTAGGCGGTGGAGGAGCATAGTACGACGCCGTGTAGCTGCTAGTAGGTTGCGCCGTATTGTAGCTCACTGTTGCGTATATAGGTGGAGGAGCTGCTGGTCCAGGTGGACCATAGAATTGATGAGTTGGGTAGTGATCGTACATCGGATGACGTGGACGGCTGTGATGATCCGGGAAGGGGAAATCCTGCGTCCCATCTTGATGGTTTCGTGATCCTTCGTTTTGCGCTGCCGCACCTGATTGCTGCTGCGGCTCACTTGCTTTTTGGTTATTAACACTCTGGCCCTTCTTTTTCTTCTTTTTCACACTACTGCCATCATTACCACCACCCACTTTACCAACCGCAGTGCTTTTCTCCCCGCCTCCGCCGCCATCTTTTTCTTCCGCCGCAACCTTCGGCGGCGGCGGCTGAGCGCCATCACCGGGAACGCTCTCGATTTCTGGTTTCTTCCCTTCTGATTTATTCAATTCCTTTGCCGGCTCATTGTCGCCGCTAATTGATTTCGAATTTGAGTTCCCACCGCCGCCACTTTCTTCAACTTTATTAACTGCGCCACCGACTTTGGCCGGGGCGCCAACTTCGCCGCCATTGCCGTTCTTAACTCCGCCGCCTCCTTGGCTCTCTTTGGGAACCTCTTGGGCTGATATTTCGGCTTTGACTGGAGGGGTTTTGACTTCTTTAACGTTATTAGCATTGCTATTTTGGGATGTTCCTTCCTGGGGCGGAACAACTTTCTCCTTTTTCGCGGATGCGGCCGATTTCTTCTCCTTCTGGTTAGGATTTTCCGGCCAGAGCTCTGCATGCTTGCCGGCCTTATTGAGTTTGCGCAGTAACGTATTCGCGTCGACGTTTCCAATCACAGTTACTTTTTGCTGTTTGGTATCAATTTCTGAATCATAGACGCCTGTGAATAATAATCAAAATTGAAAATCTAGCTTTCAGGATATACGTAATTATTAATATCAAACTCAAACATGGGGAAAAAAAAAAAAGCAAATTGAAAGGGGAATTAAGATCATGAACCCAACATAAATTAAGAATACCTTCAACTTGATGTAAAAGCTTTTTCACTTTTCTCTTGCACCCTTCACAATGAATAGAAACTTTCAAGATCCATTTCTGCATGAGAAACGAAAACAGGGGAGAAACTGTTAGAAGATTACAAACACGAAAAAAAAAAAAACCCTGAATAAACAAGACGAATCTTAATTGACCTTGGAATTATCCGGAGGTTGTTGTGGCGGATCTTCTGATACTTCTTGACCAGCCATAGCTAATGAGGAGCTCACAAGAAGAAGAAAGAAGAGAGAGAATGAAGAGGGGACAAAAAAGGGGAATGCAGAAGTTAGTGGGGGGAGAAAAGGAAGAATGCTCTGTTTTTGAAGTATATAGAAAATGATGAGTTGAGGCTTTTAAGAAGTGGGGGAAAAGCATTTTAGGGTGTGATTGGACTAATGCTAAGCTTTGGGTTGTAAAAATCTTTGATTTGGGGGGTCCGTTTTTGCTTTCTGTTTGTTTGGCTTCTTTTTTTCGGAGTTTTAATTGCTTTTCCGAGTCGGACGATTAAAACCTAATATAAACCACCCACACACACAAACACACACCATTCTTTTCCTTTTGTTTTTCACGTGAAATAGCCTTCAAAAGTAAATTTCAAATTTGTTAAGACACCCTCAAAAAGATAAATTATGATCATTTTAACTCCTTTACATGTTTAAATACTTTGATTCAATAACACAATGTTTACTCGGGACAATGATTTCAGATAACGGGTTTGTAATTTGATAAGTCTGTTTGACTGATTTTACAATGTTTAAGTTCTCAATTCGGTAGAATGTTATTATCACGAAGATTAAGATTCAAATTTTGATAAATACTCCATCTGTTCCAAAATAAGTATCATTCTAGAGTTTGCACACAGTTTAAGAAAATATTAAATAGGGTAACTAAATTACTAGAATATCCTCAACGAACCCCATTAAAATAAATGATCACCAATAATATTATTTCTTTTGAGGTTATGTTTGGAAATTTTTGACAAAAAATACATTGAAATTCGGAAACGACACCTATTTTACAATTTCTCCATTTTGCTAAAATAACACTTATTTTATAATGGAGTGAGTACTTAAATCAAACACATGGGGGGAGGGGGCAAATCGAACTACCTAGTGAAGGCAACGCGAAATGTGAAATTAGCACGAAGACGTATAGTTCATAGTTTATTTCTTGTGATTGAACTAACCAACTAATTATTCTCATAGTACTTGTGTTGTGTGTGTGAGTTTGTTCCCCTGATTGGAAATTATTCTCAGGCTTATTGGTCCATACGTAGGCCTTCTTCACAAGAATCGATCCCACACTCACAAGTCACAACATTACTGAAATTGATTTTGGAAGGCACACAATTTTCATGGTTCTTTTTTTAACGCATTTCACGTCTACATCCATTTTTTCAAAGGCGTATCCCAACAAATTTAATTAAGGAATCAATCGGATTGTTATTGAAGTGTCACATAATTAAAAAGCTGTCCACTACAAGGACGATGAAAAAGAAAATGCAGTGATCGAATAATGTTATTGATTTCTAAACTGATAAAAAGACGTTATTGTTTTAGTCATGATAATGTTAGACTGGTTTAAAATCCACAATACAGTAATGTAACAATTTTTATGGGTACAAATATATAACAATGTAATGTTGTAGTCTTATACTTCCATGATTTCATTCACCCTCCAAAAGTCGGGTTTGAAACATTAGATGTTACCTTTTACAAATATTTGTTCAAACGTGAATGTGATAAGAAAATTAATATCGAGAAATTATTATTTTTTGAAAAAAGGTCCATAGTTGGTTTAAAATATCGATAGAATAATTAATGAGATACGGCATAATAGAAATAATAATTTTAGACGATGTTCCGATTGTTAGTTAATATGTCATCAGTGACTAATTAACAATTGACTTATTGGTGAAAATACTATTGTAGGAAATCTTACCAAACTGTGTTCGTTGTTTTTGGAAGCGGCCACTCAATTACATCCACATAAGATTATAATTATGATCCATAAAGAAATGATGAGTACTATTACGAATGTGAGGATCCTTTTGGAGGATATAAACCACCCCACTAAACTAAAAGAAACATGATGATGATGATTGTGATTCATCCTAGAATGACAATGAGATTTCAACAGAGAAAAGCAACAAGAATGGGTTATTGTTTGTAGCTGACAATGAAGCCACAAAAAAGGAAAAAGAAAAAAAAAAAAAAAAAGAAGATGGCTTTGATTGCTGCGATGGCTATTTACATGGTGGTCTGTTTTTAGCATTTCAATTTCTGAAAATATATTACGAAAAACTCTTGTGAAAATATATTAGCAAAAGTAACTAATTAATTTAAGCATTAGTCATTAGTATTTCAGAAAATGCATGATTTATGAATGGATATAGAATGGATTCAAGAATATTGTTTGTCTCCGGAAAATGAAATACGTCCAAGGCAAAATTTTGTCGCGAGATTATATATGTTTCTTAATTTTTTTATATTATTTTATTTTTTTTGTATATTTGTAGGGTGTTCACCGTCGTCAACAGTGACTAATTCTCCTCATTGAATTGTAGGCATCTCGATGGGTAGAATAGCTGGCCAAAGTATGTGATCATAAATTTTTCTTAAATTTGATCATACTTTTAAGATACCAATCCTAGTAAGGACATTTGAAATGTTTGAGCCTTGATTATGGTGGAGCTAATAGCATTTGCACCAATCTGTCTTCGTATGAATCCTGTTTTCTTTTTTCTTTGGTCATGCACTATTTTTGTAACCTGAATTACTTAACGTTAACCAAATAAAGATAAATCAGACATTTTTCTTTTTCTTTTTTTCTTTTTTTTTTAATGTTTCTTTCACTTTTCTTGATCTTTTACAGTTGTTTTTAATTCCTTGAAAAGGAGTGTACTTCGATCTTTTTGTATTATTATTATTATTATTATCGTCATTTGTGAAAAGCAACAAACCATATTTTGAATCTCGATAAAATTAATTAATCTTTTTATGGGTTTAATATCAGTTAAATAATCCACATTACCAATAAAGCTAAACTGACAGGTCTATGTAGTATGTACAACCATAAACACACCATGTCTCCCATAACGTTGAAAGTAAATTAGTAGAAGAATATCACACCTTAAAGCTCAAAAGAGATTCAAATATTTGTCCTTATTCAGCCAAAGTTGTTGAGCGGAAGACTCATTCATCGCTAACCAAGATGGGATATATTCAAATCATGTTTCAGGCACAAAATAACTTTAATGGACATTTTCTTATATCGAGAAAAAAATAAAAATCTGTATATTGAATTTGAGGACCATATTACCACTTTACCAGCATTCTTGCTTAATCTCAGTGGAATTTGAAAAGGTTATAACCCATGTTAAGATTTTGCAAGGCAAAAAGCTTTATAGTACTTTACAGCTTAGAACTTCTTGTAAGGTGTTTTAGGCAAGTTCGTCTCTTCTTCCATCTTTTTCTTTACTTTTTTTTTTCTAGACTAGATAGGAAGTTTCGGCTTCCAACTTCCTGCTTACCTTCACCCCAAGTACTCCAGAGTCCAGACATTAACTTAGTGTTAAAATTCCCTTTGAACTTGAAAACAAGTGAAAGATACTTGTTTCACATTTGAAATAATAATCTAATTTATTAATACATAAGTTTCATTTACTACTTTTCTTATTATCAATTGGTGTTTAGGTGAAATCATATGTGAATTTATATGGGCCTTCAAGATGGTGTGAGAATGAGTTTTAATTTGCGGACTTTATGGGTGAACTTTGACCGATCCGGCAGTTTCTCTGGTTTAACTGAGCCTTATTGGGCCTTTAACTTATACCCGTATTGTACTTTTAGTAACCCGACAATATATCTGAAACTTTGATTCAATCGTATTTTGGGTTTTGACTGATCCGACTCTAAATTTGATGACTTTGATTTATTCGTATTAGGCTTTGATATATTGTCCGTATTGGGATTTGATTGTTCAAATAAACATTATCTCTTCTGCCTCCAGAGAGGATGTTAAAATTTCCTTTGAACTTGAAAACAAGTGAAAAACACTTGTCTATATTGGAAATGGTAACCCAACTTACCAAGTCTCATTTACTATTTCTCTCATTTTTAATTAATTTCGAGGTAGAACTACATGTGAGTTTATATGGGCGTTCAAGAGTTCTAGTCTATTTGGCAATTTAATACGTAAAGTACTATTATGATAGGTTAAGACCAATTCAAAATATCAAACTCTTCTCATAAACTTTTATCCAAGCAGAAATTATTACAGTTATGAGTTATTTTCTGATACTATTTGGATTATTGATTGGACCATATTTGGTGGAGACTTCAAAATGTTTAAAAATCGTAACATCATTAAGATCGAATTAGGTTCCCTTTTTCTTAAGTAACTAAATTTAAGTGGGTAAATTAAAGAAATAATGTAGCAACTATTTACATTTAAAGGTTGTTGATGAAATTTTGGATGACTTATGGGATGACCATCTGCACTTAATTGACTTATGGTGGAATTCGCATGACACAATGTAGTCAAATTGTCACATTAAAGCTTTGTTAAAATGATGTTTTGTATGATTCAAGTGCTTGATAAACCAGTTCGGAATTAAAATATGTCCTTGAGGTTGAGGCAATGACAAACAGGCCACTATCCTAACAGCCCGTGATTGACTCTCATGGACATAATATAACCCAACTCTAAGGGCCTATATGGTAAGATGGGCTTAGTCTGACTACTACTTTTTCCAATGAATTCTGACATTTTACTGGAGTTTGACAAATCGTATAAAATTAGTTGTATATTCGTTCCTTATCATCTCTCCCATTAGTCCATTACCTAGTTCGAAGTATGAGTGAAAGTGGGGGAAAAAAAAGAGAGGAAAGAAATGATCTCAGAACCAATTTTCCCACCAAATATGTTACTAGGATATTCGTGCAAAAAATAATGAATCATTATACATTATTTTCGTACTAATAACAACATACGACATTTAATAATACATAACAGTAGGATCAAGACCTGTTGTCATCAATCTCATGACAAGCCGTCAACCAAATTTCATCACTCGGACGGTTGAACACTACATTCCTCACCAAATCACGCAGTAAATAAACATTCATACAACAGATAGAAATTTTAGAAAAGATATTCTTTTGTTCATCTTGTATGGGTTTGTTGCTTATGAGCTCAAATGTCCTTGTTCCTTCTGCATTCCGGAGGAACTTGTGGGTACCTTGTCTTATCGGTACAATAGTTATAAATGGTCCATTTGCTTCGTACCCACTTAAGCCTCTTGTACTCATTGGCGTCCAAATCAGCAAAAGCAGGCTGATCCCACCATTTAAGCCCAGTGGTTTTGCAGACCTTGATTTCCTGTGGAGTTGAGGCCTTGCAGCCGTCGATATGGAATGAGGTGTAAGATGCGATGAATGGGGCTCCAGCCCAATTGGTTTTCTCCCGCCCACCTCTTGTAGCCCAATCATCTGCGTTCCACAGGCTGGAGTACAGCCTCATGGGTTGATTGAATGGAAATCTCACTCCGATATCACCTTGATTTTTGAACACCCGGATGCAGACATTATCCACATAAAACCTGAAAACAATTTTTCAATATCTTAAAAAAAGATTCTAAGAGTTCTTGAGAATAAACAATGTAAAATCAAAACTAGATTTTTATTTAGTAATGACAAATTTTATGGAGAAAAACCTGAAAGTTAAACCATCAAACTACTGTTCTAACAACTACTCCATATGTTGTGATAAAACTGAAAATCAAAACTAAAATATTTTAAGTATCAAATATTAACATAAAAGGAACACGAATATGAAGTTGTTTTGTATTTATATCAGTTACTATCTTAATTCACGGTATTTTTTTTTCTATTATTCACTATACACAACATATTATTTCCCTGGTCAAAACGTCAATGGTAATTCCTTCTAGATTTTGTTTCGATATGGTACCCAATCACGTGCATTCACAGTCTCAAAAAGGAACCAAAAGGAGAAAATAACACAGACAAAAAGTCAGAAAAGTTGGCATTAATCTCATCATAGATGCCGGGCAAAATTTTTTTATTTATAATTCTAAAACTCCTTTTCTTTTTCTTTTTTCTTTCTGGGAGCTTTGTCTGTTTATCTTGGTAATCAAAGTAATGTAATACTGACTCCGTCTAAAAAGAATAATACGTATTGAATTTTCAAATTTATACTAAAAAGTAAAAATAGTAAGAAATTTAAAAACTCAATACGACTATTTTTGTGGTGGGATGGAAGGAGAATAACTTATAACACTCCGTTTTTATGCATTTCTAACCCAAGAAAAAAAAAATGTTGATTATTTTTAAATCACAACGAAAACAAAATCGAAATAATAATTTTAAAATTAGTGAAGATGATGCAGATGGAGTGTATGGGTGTGTAAACAGAGAGAGAGAGAGAGAGAGCATACGCAATTTGTTTCATGTTCCAGAGGACAGCATAATCATGGTACCCTTTGGTCGGGTCGAACCAGAGGTAGTGGCGTTGCTCTCTGTCTCCTTTGCCACCCGTGAAAACATTGGTCTGTAAAATGTAAGGTTGCCCTGTTCTGTTCCCCAAGAACTCATAATCTATCTCATCATGTTCATTATTCTGGGACGACAGCTGATAAAAAAAATAAAAAAAATGAAAAACAACGTTAAATTAGATTCAGATTCGACTCTAGTTCCAAGAGAAATTTCTCTGCATTGATTGGAAGAATCAATGAAGAAGGAATTGCAGAATCATAACTTACATAGAATGCAGTAACCACACCAGCAGAGTCACCACCCACCAATTTCATCCTCATGCTGAAATGCCCGAATAAATACTCGTCCTTAGACTGAAATCCAGTACCTGGCCGGATTGAAAAACGAAACAGAGTAAGGAATCGATGACCAGTTCCTACATTTTCATCCGGGATTTCTTCTCTAGATGAGATCCTAACTTTATTTAAGTTAGCAGAAAAGGAAAAAATCAAGGTATTTGAATGTACCTGTGGTTTTATCGAGGACAAGATCGACGGTGTTGCCGCCATTGATGTAGCGGATATGGTCAGCAGCCCAAGTAGGGACATAGTTCTTCTGAAATGGCACATTGATAGGCCTCCTGGGCTGAGTACCAATGGCCAATACCCACAGATTTATCAAGATTGCACCCACGAAGATGAGTCTGCTAAGACCCATTCTTAACACAAAAAAATGCTGATTTCTGGAACTCCAAATATTAGGTGAATTTCAATGGTAGAATGAAGAAGATAGAGATTGAAGAAGGAGAGAGAGATGTCCTCTGTTTAGGAAGTGTGGAAGAAGAGATCTTTGCAGGTGGATTATATATAAGATATGTGTAGAATGTAAAATATAGTTTAAGGGCTATTCTGGACCCTCACTGAGTAGAAAATTGTGTCAACCCAAAAGTAGTAGCAAGTTGGACTTCAATGACATTTTTGTTGGAACACCTTAACAAATCACGTTCCTCCCAGTGGATATGATGAATAGTGGTTTTTTGTTTGTTTGTTATATTTTTCTTAATTTGGACAAATTGATTGCTTCAATCGGTTTTTACTTCTTTTTTTTTTTTGATAAACCTATTACCCCTAGTGTATTAGTGTCAATCAATTATCTAAATATTACTACTTCTGTCCCAAAATTATTATCCAGTTTGATATTTCACTTTTATTACAATTTGAACTAGAAATGAAAATCTAAACAGGACAATAATTATCGGACGGAGGGAATACGACTTTTTTATTATCTTGATAAAATCTATAACTGAAAATTTAATATTTTATTGAATTTTTTTTTTTTGGGGGCCAAAGCTTCTATGAAACTAATTTTTTAAGTCTCCAGCCGACTTAATTGGCAAGCAATTGTAATTATATGTTACTCATAGTTTGATGTTTATTTCAATCGAATTATATTGCTAAACTGGTATGTGTAAAATTTGAACAACAATACTTCAAGTTTACACTCATGCAATAATGATAATAGGCTAATAGCGCTACAATGATGTTAGGGCAGGTGTTTGGACTACAGTTGAATATGATAATAGCGTTACATTGCAACTTACTTACAAGTTCAATACAATTTAATATAATTGCTTAAAATTGGAGAATCTTTTAGGGTTTGAAAATGTATGGACTTTTGTATCCTAATAATATAGGGTTTTAATGGATGGGTATTTTTGTTTATTAAATTTTAACGGATTTGTATAACAATGTGGTATCTTTCTAAAAAAATTTGAATAAAACAAGGTCAATAATTAGTCAATGTTGCATTTAGTCAACGGACTACACAGATGAGACGCCGTCTTGTTTTAAGAAGGTCGACCGTGCAAGTATAAATTGCATGCAAATTTATTATTAGTTTACTTATTTACCTTGAAGGTCAATATTACCAACAAAAATAAAGTTTCTATTATTTTCTGAACTAAATATGCATGATTTTTTTTTTAAAAAAAAAATGTAAGACATAACAGAGGAGAAAGTAAAGGACACGAAATATATTAAAAATTTCATTTTAAATAGGAAGTCTTTATTTGGTCCAATCAAATCACACTCCCGTCGTCTCGAAATTATTATCTAATTTGTATTTTTAATTTTATTTTTAAATTAGCTATTTGCTCTTTTCTCGACCATCCCATTCAAGCCGTTTTTAAGGTTTTATAACCACATTTTTGTCCTAAAATGATTACTTTGACAAAGCAAAAAAATATATTTTGCGCATAATAATCATTTTGGAATGACATCGTTATATATGTTATTACAAAATTTTGATCACTAATTTAATCAACTCATTGCTAGTTGGGTGTCGGTTTGGCGCCATTGAGTTAATGAGAAGCAGAAGCAGTGCTATTGACCCCAGTTTGTCTTTCGGGCAAAAACAAAAAAATAAAAAATAAAAAAAAAATAAAAAAAATAGTTGATTGCTTGTTTCGCGGCCAATCGCTTAATGAAAACCGCGTCCAACAAGAAAACACAGGAACACAAAGAGTTGGCACTCAGCACAGAGATTCGAGCTTATACTAATGACTTACTTTAAAAAGATGTCAATTGACCTAATTATAGTATTTAGTATAGATTGGTTCATAAATGTTGCATTAAGAAGTGGTGCTATTACTAGATCATCTTGGAATGTGGTCAGGAGGCCTTCAGCATTAACATTAATTAGCGTGTGCATGCAAGGAATTTCGTCTGTAGAAATCCTTTTAACATTTCGTCTCTAAAATCGGTGGAAGTAAAAGTTTTTTTTTTTTTTTTGAAACGGTGGTGAAAATAAAAGTTGACAATAAGAGTATTTCAAGGATAATTTCTTTTTTTAAAAAACAAGATATATCTCGTTTTATTTTTATAAAAGAAGATCAACATACAATTCTAATTAGATGAGTGTCTGTGTCTAGTTGAGAATTTTTTTGTGTGGTTAAAATAATACAACCTTATAAATACAGTTGGTGAAGTTGCAATTTGATGGATTGTTTTATTTATTTTTCATCTGTTGTATTCAGCTGGTTCTCCAGTGGAAGAGCAATCAGCGGGGTATTTTTTCTCGCAGCAGACTTTTGGCAGTTGCACATGCTGCATGATTTTTTAAATTTTGTAGGCGGAAAGAAAGAAGCATCATCAGAGCCCAAAAAGGCCAACATATTAGCTAAACCCATTTCTGAAAAATGAAATTCACAAGTTCACATGGGGGGGAGTCCCCAGCTGGACCCGTAACTGACTACACAACCTTATTGGTAACTCAGTCCACCCAATTACGACATTGATAATTCCCCCCTTACTCAAAACTAATGCTCATTTCTTTTCCTATAATATCCCGAATCTCATCAGATATGGAAATGAAGTTCACGCTTACTTCTGCAATAACTTGCAAACCATAAAAATTGTAGTTATATATGTCAATGAGGGTTGTACCTACTAACAGTCTGCATTTTATATTTTTCTCTCATTCTCTGTATTTGAAAAATAATTCGGTTTATTCTGTAGTTTCAGTTCAATAAAATGGATTAGTTTTATGAGACAGAGGAAGTAATTCGATTCGATAAGAAGACACGAGTATCAATGCCATGTTCAGGACTGATTTTCTGGGTGATCCATTTCCAGCCAAGTGAGAGAATAAGAAGCTCAAAAACAATTCATTTAAGTAAGAATTGAATTAATGCAGCGACGCGTGTTTGGCCTTTAATTATTGTGTGTATGTCAGGTTCGGTTCACAGTGATGAATGCGGTCTTGGGAAAATCACAGTCTCCAGAAATATGCACCAATCAAATTGTTCTTCTCTTTCTTTGTCATTCTGCTAGATCCCTATTCCCTCTTTCAACCTCTTTTGTTTTTCTATTATCATCCGTCCTAAAATTATTATCTGGACAATAATTTTGGGACGGGAGAATATATATATATATATATATATATTTTAAAAAAAATGATGGAATAGAACTCGAAACTGTGGCATTGGAATGAAGATTCTCAGAACTTCTTTAATTGGTTTGTGCCCCGGAACCGGGAGATACGGTTGTGGCAGAAACAATCATATTCTTATGTTACGTCGAAAAAATACTCTTTTTATCTCGAAATAATTAAAATTATTTTAAATAAATATAACTGAACTTTTAATGAGTGTGTTACAAAATGTAGTAATAAAACTTATGAAAGGGGATTCCTTGCAATCAAACTCTTTACGGTTTACATTATTGATAATAATAATGCTCTTTACATTATTTGGTTAAAAAAAAAAACTCCTTACATCATTGATAATATATAATAATCAGTTAATCAAAGCTCCGCCATAATGCTGCTGCTGATGATTCTTTAAATTAATAGGATATAAAATAATATTTGATCCCAGGATTCTCTTAATCAGGATAATAGTTTCCCCTTAATTTTAAAATAGTTAAATTCCATTATTGCAGACTTTTTCATTTTTATTTTTAATACAATTGTTACAAAGCTATAAACTATTCTTGCAGACTAAACTATTCTTATTCTGTTGAACTTCTCATCTTGAACGAAAGCTCGCTTTCCCTCTTTAGGAATTTGGATTGACCTGAAATTAAGGAGGGTTTTTTTGACCTTTGAGATTGATTTCCCACAAATGTTTTATTTTTCCTTGAGAGAATATAAAGGGAAAAAAACCTGTTAGTATCATTTTGTTTTTCTTTTTGGCCAAACATCTATAAGCAACTTCAAGGTTTGTACTTTTATTTCTCATTCTAAAGAATATTGTCTATTCTTTTTTTTACCGCGTTACTTTTTTTTTTCTTTCAAATACTCCATCCGTCTCACAAAAATAATCTATATTTTGAATTGCAAACTGTATTAAAAACAACACAATGTATAAAATAAGTAATATTATCTTTATAAACAGAGGGAGTACTAATTGAGATATTTGAACGAGCTTGGTTATCATAGTACGACCATCTAATACTCCTTCCGGTCTTTATTATAACAAACTTTTGATTTATCTTAAATTTTATTTAATATATTCTTCCAATTGAAAATAAAATATAAAAAATATATATTTATATTTATTGTGTTCTCTCAATTATTATAAAATATTTTTAAATTATTTTGAAATAAAAAAACACAATAAATGAAATTTAAGAAAAATAAGTATGTCTTTCAATAAGGACCGGAGAAGTATTACTCTTTCCTATAGAGATTTGATGGTTTTCATAGTATATTTAACTAGAACTAACGATTTTTATTGCAAGAATGCTCCACCTGTTCCAAAAGAATTACTCATTTGTGAATTGTATTGTTAATATTCATAAATCGTAATGTGGATTATTTTTCTGATAGTAAGATTTATTTTATTCAACTACATTATTATAAGTGGAGTTTTGTTATAATTCACAAATTATAATGTAGACTTTTTTTTTTTTTTTGGTGATATGAATAAGATTTTAGTTATTTGGCTACCAGTATAAGCGGAGTTTTCTATTATTGCACATATCATTTCTGCGCTGTTAGCTTAGAATAAATAAATGACATCAATAATCGAATAAAAAATAAATCTAAGATATATAATCGGATAATTCTCATTCATGTAACTTTCCATTATCAATCAATCCCCAGGTCTTTCCAACAGGGAATCTCCGAGCAATTAGGCTTGACTTATTTCTTCTTCCATTGTTAAAGAAATTCTTAAAAAGAAAAGAAAGGTCTTTTTCTCCATAGATTATGTAATCCGCTGCTTATTCAAATGTGGCATTACTTCTGGTAGAGACAAATTTGGTCAGTTTGTTTCCCAGTTTTAGGTCTTCCTCATGTGGCTTTATCACACCACAGGTGGTTTCACAGTTCATGTTCATGAATCAAACAATGATAGAAATAGAATTGAAGTTACTCCTCCCACCTGAAGTGTCGAGAAATATCAACGTGGTTCTGTCTTCTTCTTTTTGTTTTTTTCTTCAACCTAAATCTGTAACTTTTCATTTATTATACCAAAACAAGAGATCACAAACAAAGTGACCAAAGGCGACTGAAGTCTAAAACTGTACAAACATTTGT